ACCCTGAGCCGGTGAGATTTGAACCGCTGAACTGCTGATCTAGCAGTAGCCTGCAGTGCTGCATTTAACCACTGCGCCACCTTGGCTCATATGAAGTATGAAAACGGGAGCTGGGGCTAAAGAGGTACCATCCTAGCAGTTAAGTTGCAAATATTACAAGAAAAAGCTATATACCACATCTCACATATTGGGGAGGTCCAAAGTCTCTAACATGAGACCCTCACAAAACTATATGCTCTCCACTCTGAAAATGTAAATGAACAAGCAAAAACCAAAGGTGTTTTTGCATCAATACAGCTTAAATGTCTTGCTGGAAAACCAGGTAAGTGTCATGATTACTGCCATAGAAGCATTACTTGCTCTGAATCTTTACTTCCAGCAGCAGTAGGGCATACAGAAATTAACCAGCACAGCTCTGTTTTGGCAATACACAGAAAAGACTGCCTGCTAAACTTCCAGGGGTTCCAGCTAGTAGGAAAGTATGGCAATTTAAAAACAGAGAGCTTTAGATGAATTCAGCTATAAACGAAAAAATAGTATTTGGGGTGTGTGTAACATCTTTCAATCAATTGCAGATTCTTTTTCTTTCCCCTGATATCACCCAATTTTGAATATTAGACTGCACCCAGATCTGGTCTGGCAACCTTTGCTAGGCCTCCTCCCAAAGCTAAACAAGAAAGTCAGTCTTCCTATGATACATCAGCTTCTAATTGTCATCTCTTCCTTCTGCAGCCTCCTCTTCCCCAGCCCAGTGCTTGGGCCAAATGCCGCCTGTGCTTGTCCTAGCCAAAAAAAGGCATTACTCACAAAAACAGGGCTCCTGATGGATCTTGCAGTATCCTTGGTGGATCTTGCAAGGCCTACATTACAGACAAGCCGTGTTTCTCTTTCCTTCTGTGGTTATCTAAGGCTGCACGGAAGAGTCAAAGGTGCTTGCCTCTAATGAGAGAGGCAACTCATAGCTGCTCCCTGACGCAGAGCTGGCTCCAAAGAGGGAAGGGTGAAAAATCAGCTAGTTCAGCTAGAACAGGGATTCAGACAGCTCACAGAAGAGCCCTAGTTGCTTATTGTGGAGTCTCAGAACTTTACATCCTGCCTTTAAATTGGGGTTAGTCCATACAGGGTCCCTTCCTTTTATTTCTTCTCACAACAACCCTCTGAGGTTGACTGAATGGGAAGGAGGGTGTAATTGGCCCTAAGTCCAGCCACAACTATCCTTTTCACAACTTAAGAACAAAAGTGGCCTCCTTTCTAGAAAGAACTGGCAAGAATGCACCTCCTTTTGGAAAGATATTATTTAAGACTACAAATCCCATCAGCATTGGACTTGGTGGCTTGGATGAGGCCTCTCAACACACGACTCCTCCGTTTTTGCTGGCTTTCTCTGACAGGCTGAGGCTAGGCAGCCACCGAGATGGCTTCTTCGGGAAATATCTCTTTTCCCCGGCATGCTGCTGCTGCTGCCCCCCTCGGTCCCGCGGCGCCGTGCCTGGGCAAGCCACGTACGGGTCTCCCCTCGGTGGAGGAGACGCCCGCCTCCCCCCCCGCAATTCACCCCCGCGCGCTCACCCTGGGGCTCCTCGGCGGCCTCCTGGCTTCCCCGGGCGGCTCCTTCGGCGCAGCTGATGCCTTCGTCGTTCTCGATGCCCGCAATCTCGTTCTCCTGCTGAGCCAGGAAAGCAGCGGCCGGGTCCTCTTCGGCGGCCTCGGCTGCTCCGCTTTCCGAGGAGGAGAAGAAGCCGAAGTCATCCGCCATGACGGCCGTTTTCCCGCAGCTCTCGAGCCCGCCTTTCTCCGGGATGGGCACGACGTGCCACGCCCGCAACCTCGGCGGCCGAGAGAGAGAAGCCCCGGGAGCCGGCCAAGCCAAGCAGTGGGCGACCAGGAACCGCCGGCTCAGCTGTCACTGCGGCGCCTGCGGGAGGAGACTGACGCGGCGAAAGGAGGTGACCTCACCCGCCGAGCTGCTAGCGCGTTCCGGAGCCATTAGAGGGAAGCAGCGGCAGTATCAGCTCCGAAGGCAGAGAAGTTCCGCTCCCGGGAGCTGCGGCGTGGGAGAAAGGAGGTCCAGCCTATTGTTGGGGATAATGTCGCATTCCAAAATTCAAGGGCGTCCTGATGGTCCTAAGAAAAGATGCTCTTTACAAAGCGCACGGACTCAGGTGGTCCTTTGGTGATGCCAAGCCAGCAAATGAAATCTTTTAAAAGTCAGCCGCTTGAAGAGTTCTACAGGTAATCCTCGACTTACAACAGTTCACGGTCGTTTGAAGTTACAATGGCACTGAAAATCGTGACGTATGACCGTTTTTCACACTTATGACCATTGCAGCATCCCATGTGACTCAGTTGTCAAGCATTCAGATGCTTGACAACTGACTCACATTTCTGAAGGTTGCAGTGCTCAGGAGTCATTTTGCGACTTTCTGACAAGCGAAGTCAATGGGGAAACCGGATTCACTTAACAATCATGTTACTAACTTAACAACTGCAGTGATTCACTTAACAAAAATGGCAAGAAAAGTCGTAGGAGAGGACAAATTCACTTAACAAATTTTTCACTTAACATAAATTTTTGGGTTCAGTTGTGGTGGTAGGTTGAGGGCTACCTGTACTTACTTGCTTGCTTGCCTTGTCTCTTCTCTCCAAACATATACAGCGATGACCTCCTTTTTTAAAATGTTCCCATAATGCTACCTTCATTCAGCCCCTAACCTACAAATAAACCAGCTTAATACTACAGGTAATCCTCAACTTATGACTACAGTTGAACCCCAAATTTCCATTGTTAAGTGAGACATTTGTTAAATGAGTTTTGCCCTATTTTATGACCTGTCTTGCCTCAGTTTTTAAGTGAGTCATTGCAGTAGATAAGTTAGCAATCCAGTTGTTAAGTGAATCTGGCTTCCCTATTACTTTTTTCTTGTCAGAAGGTTGCAAAAGATGATCACATGACCTTGGGACACAGCAATGGTCATAAGTATGAACCAGTTGCCAATTGTATGAATTTTGATCACATGATCATGGGGATGCTAAAAAGGTTGAAACTGAAAAATGGTCATAAGTCACTTTTTTCATTGCCATTGTAACTTTGGTCACTAAATGAACTGTTGTAAATTAAGGACTACTGTACTGTGTATTAAAATAATCCACACATCTGACCAAATCAGGTAAACAATGGGAGAGGAATCAAAAAAAGTATTTAGTAATCAAGCACTGTCTTACTTGGACTTGATCAGCTTCATAATTGTCTGTCTAGAGCAGGGGTGTCAAACCATCATCATGGTGGCATCACATGATGTGTCGGGGCTTTCCCCCCCTTCGCTAAACCAGGTGTGAGTGTGGTCAGCATGTGATGCATCTGGCCCATGGGCTAGAAGTTTGACAGCCCTGCTCTAGAGAGTTGAATATAGCTTTGTTGGCCAATCATCTGTCAGAATTGTGCAACAGTGTTGGGTTGCAATGGATGTTTTAACACTATGGTCCTTGTCAATTTAGTACAATGCTGAAATAGTGAAACAGGCTATTTCATCCCATCTCATCACCTCTGGATCAGCACACACAGGAATCCAGAAGTTGGCATCTGTGGTCTTTAAAAAGCAAAGGAAAGGTAGAGAAATTAAAAATAACGGGACTGCTTACGATTGAACTGTGTGATTCCAATTTATTGTTTTTAAAAACAAAAAATAATATTCAGCTTGGGTTAGAATTGGATGTCACAGCTATGGCATAGGTAAATGACAAGGTGCTGCAGCCAAAGGTGCCCCAATTCTGCTACAGTGCCCTGACAGATGGATGTTTTTCCCACCAAGCAGACATGTGCAAGAGGTAAGGGACAGCAGAGCTGGCAGAATAAATTTTATCAGGAGTACACATGAAAAATCAAGACAGACATTCCATGAGTCAGTGTTGTTGACTCTCGAGTTGAGGCATGATGGGGATTACCAATGCAAGCAAGATATTTCATGTTAGTATATTCTCCTGCTTGCTGAAGGATAGTTGGCTGTTATTTTACTTCAACAGAGAGGAAAGGCTCAGAATGAAAATTATGCCAGTTTATAACAGCACTGTACATTCTCACAGATAAACCAAAACTTTAGGTGCCAAAATACTGAAAAATTGGGTTGGGCTTTCTACGAGTATATTTAGTAATAATTTTTTAAAACACCCATATTTCCCATATATGCTCAATTATAAGCCCCTCCATGGATAAGCAGGAATTTTCTAACCAAAACATATATATCAAATTTTAACCAAAATTGCAGATCCACAGATGGTGCATTTTTCATGGTACTTTGGTTAAAAATTCAAAGGTCAGCTTAATCACTGAAAGTTATGTATGGCATGTGCAAACAGTATACTAAATCATGCTTGGCAAACTTTTAAGCTATTAAACCATGCCTTATAAACCATACTAACTGAGTTCATATATGACATTATCCTAGAATATCGTATTTACTAATTAATCATAAATGCCTTGGTTTCTGCATTGCATTGAACTACAAACAAGTCTTCTTGGACTGAATATGGTCCCAATGAATACACTATTTAATGAGTCTGTTCTCTGTAATTTATCATGAACCTCATTGGTGAAACATACCTATGATTCTACAGAGAATTATCTTGTATACCTGATATAGTGAAATTTTGTTCATGAAAGCTTATGCCTCACTATATTTCTTAGTTATGAAAACTGTTGTCCAAACTAGTGAACAAAGCTGCAATTCAGCAAGTTGGACCTTAACCTTAACTTAGAGTCCATAATCAGGGAAATGTGGAACACAGATTAATTATCTCTAGTTAAAAACTCCTATAGTATTTATTACCTTTGTAATTGTTTATATGCTTAGTCTAACAGAAATTCTATGAAATTGAAGAAAGTAGGCACCAGATTGCAGCTTTGGAGATTCTGTATGTTTAATGATTACTTTTTTTTAAAAAAAAAAGTCACACTACACTAAATTTAGCAGAGTTTCAATTTGAGTGGTACTTTTTTTGTTTCCAGTCATGTACTCGGCCATATTGCCAATAGCCTCCTTCATTCATTTGTTCCTGAAGGTGAAATATGGGATTGAGCCAAAAGCTTCTTTCTCAGGGAAAGTAAAACTGTCAACAAAGCCACAAAACATTTACAAGGTCGAGGAATGCTGATAAGCTTGGAAAAGATACTGAGAAGCCAGCAGAGCTCTGGGAAGCAAAAGCAAAGTGACTCCCTAGAAAGAAACTATGCCGTGAAATATTGTCTCTTTGTTCTTTCAAAACTTCAGTCTTTGTAGTCCTGCCTCATTATACTTATAGTTTCACTGACCTCACTAGGTACATTATATGCTGTATGCAATCAAATACTTATTGTGCTATCAAAATTCTGTAATTTGAATAAATATATAAAGAGGGATCATACAGTAATCCCTGCCTCCTTTATGACTTTTTTGCCTCCAGCACTGATTATAAACAATGCAGCAGTGAAGTCTCTGGTTTATACATAAACCTAGGAAAACTCTTCTATACCCTTCCGACTCTTGTTTGCACATGTCTGTGATAAAATTTTACTGTATGATTTGAAAAGGTACTGGATAAGAGACCTCTCTCTCTCTTTCCACAGCTTCTATTAAAAGGGGCAGAGTGCCATCCCAAGTCCCCTAATATTCTACAATTCCAACCTATCTTGCTTAGAAATCACACTGCTCCCTTGAAGGCAGAACATGGGAAGGAACACTCATGAACTGAGTCATGCCTCCAAAATTCCCTTTCCCAGTTCTCTTCTTCCATAACAGGATAAAGCAGCCTAGGTGAGGACGCTTAAGTGACACAGTAAACATTTAGTTCATTCAGCCAGATGTTCTAGGTTTACATAAGGCACTGAACCAAATCATATTGGCTGAATTCAACCAATGCACTGTGTACAGTAGCTACCAGTCAGACACATATTGAAGATCCATTATCACCAAAGGAAGAACAAAAGGGGTGGTTTTTGTAAGTTATTGGACCTCTCTCTGGTTTTACCTTCAGATTCAGACTTCCAATGCTGAATTCTTCTTCATCACTGCTATTCAGTGAAGTCTGTTTGAAATAAACTAATCATTGAACACTCAATTTATGGTGTTTCTAAAATGGAAATAAACACCCCTGCTAATATTGTATGTAAAAGAACATCAGAATGTTACACTTATTTATTAAGGATAAGAGGAAGGGGAGGGATACATGACAAGTAATTTATCTTTCTTTCATTTGGAAATGAAAATATGCTACCCAGGTGTGAATTTACCTCAGCTTATAATCAAAACTTCAATGGCATGAATCATCTTCCTTCCCTTACAGTAGATGGCTGGTATCTGATTAATACCGTATATCATGTCTTTTTGGTGGAGAAACCAGAACAGTTCAGACTTGGCTTGGTATTTTTTCTTATATGTTTTATTGATGTTGCTTAATAGGCACTGCACTCAAATTTTAATTTTCAAATACCATTTCCTCCTAATCTGAATAGTGAAATTGTTTCTGGGTACACCAAGAGAGGCTACACACTTGACTGCTTCAGCTTAAATCATGCTCTAATGGCCAGTAAAGTAAAAGCTCTCTCCTGGAAACTGAAGCACAAGGTTTGGTTTTAGTAACGCTGGATGTGGATCTACTCCCAGTGATTTCCTAGTACCTTTTAAAAGGATTATAACGACGATCACCTGAAATTATATTGTCATCTGACAGCGGATGATTCATGTAGGCGGGGAAACCGTCCCCTTCCAAGGCTGTTGGATTCCAATTCCCATCACTCCTAGACAGAATGAGTAGCGCTAGCCATCCAAAAGAAAGCATAGTTCAGTTTCTAAGGAAAATGTAATTGAACCGACTACCGCCTGAGCACAGAAATACACGCAGGCACGTCTCACGCTCCATTCATTCGCGTAAAACCACGTGTCACTAGAGATTTTCAGGATGAGACACGGCTCATAAATAAAACCGGAAGCTATGGGGGACATTCGTTAATGTGACCTATGGGTGTGATCATAGACTTGCAATCTCGGAATCGTTTAATCTAAACCAGCCTTGGTTCCACTTCTAACCTGCAGTGTGAAATAATGGGTTCCGAGACCTCATTGGCAATTCCACCCGCTGAAGCTCTCCAGCTGGTTATATGCCGAAACCTGTGCGCGTTAGCAGGATAACGTGTGCTGTGTGTTTGCGCGCGCATTCAACCAAGTTAAGACGAATTAAAAACCACTAAAGGATTACTTCTGCCGATTTCACAGGAAATCTACCACTAAGGA